GTGCCCCATGGAACACTTTGTGCCTCTGAAGTTAGGCAGGTCTTCACTTAGACTGTGATGACCCAGGGTGGGATACAAAATAAACAACAGTCACAAAAACAGGTGAAGCCCCTTTTATTCCTTCACTTTGCTTCAAAGCTCCAAACATCCTTGACTGGAGACAAAAAACTCCCCCACAAGCAGTTACGAAAAGGAGGGAATGCCGTTTAAATTAAAAATGCCTGTAAACTATAAATAGAAAAAACAACACAAACCACACTGAAGGAATTAAGGGAACCAGGCAAGATAAAGGCTTGAAGACGTCCACAGATATCGGAACACACACTGGGAAGGACGCCAAACTCAAGAGAGGAACGACAGACTAGAGATATTTCCATGCTTTGTGTCCAGCACTGGCCCATACGCATGTCTGTCCTTTTAACCAGTTCTCACAGCTGCAGCCCATGAAGGGGATCAAGGCCCTTTCCTCTCCCCGTACACCACGCCATTCCCATCTCTCCCTTATCCTCTCCTCCCTGCGTGCCCTAGGATGGAGAGGGGACGGGCCTGGCTCTTCCTCAGCCGGCCTCTGCCCTTCGCCAGCCTCCTCCACAACCTCCGGAGCCACACCTCCACTCCCTGCCGGCTGTTCCTCCTCTCCCTCAGAGTCAAGTCTCCAACAGGGGCATGACAAAGACTTCCAAAGAGCGCTTAAAATCTAGATTTCCCCCTCAGCTGGTACCATAGCAGTGATGGCAAATCTTTTTGTTTTGGTGTGCCGAAAACGCGCATGTGCGCGATAGCATGCGTGCTGGCACCCACAATAAAAGGCGCTCCGCCCCCCTGCGCATGCGTGCGCAACACCCCCCCCCCTTACCTGCACTGCACATGCACACACCTCCCAACTGATTTTCGGCCTGTTTGAGGCTGTTCTCGCCCTCCCGGAGCCTCAAGAGAAGCCTCTGCAGCCTTTGGAGGCCGAAAAATGGGCCCGTTTTGGCACTTCCGGTACTTCCGGAAGGCTCATTTTTCGGCCTCCCGAGGCTGCAGAGGCTTTCCTTGAGGGTGAAAAAGGCCTCAAACGGGCCTAAAATCAACTGGGAGGCGAACGCATGCGCAGTGCAGGTAAGTTTGGCTGGGGCTCGCGTGCCCATGTAAATGGCTCTGCATGCCACCCGTGGGACACAAGCCATAGGTTCACCATCCCGGGACTATAGGGTCAGATGAGGGGGATTTTGGCGTTCAGGATGGACTGGTGGTTAAAGTGAATTATGCTGCCAGATTTTTTACTATATATCCGTGATGGAGAACCTATGTCACGCATGCCACGGGTGGCACACAGAGCCATTTGTGCCAGCATGCAAGCCGCAGGCAAACTTACCTCACTGCGCATGTGCGCGCCTCACAGCTGATTTTTGGCTTGTTTGAAGCTGTTTTTGGCCTTCCAGAGGCTTGAAAAAAGCCTCTGCAGGCTTTGCAGGACGAATAATAGGCCCATGTTGTCACTTCCTGTAATACCGGAAGTGACAAAATGGGCCTATTCGGCCTGTAGAAGGTTTTTTCAAGGCTCTGGAAGGCCGAAAAAGGCCTCAAAGCAGCTGAAAATCAGCTGTGAGGTGCAGTGCAGGTAAGGGGAAGTGGGATTGCGCGCACATGCGCAGGGGGCATGGGAGGCGCTCATTGCCTTCTGAGTGCAGGCACGCGAGCACCAGCGCGCACACAATTTTTGGCACAGGACCCAAAAAGGTTAGCCCCCACTGCGATATATGATTTTTGAATAGGTAAAAAGACCAAGGTCATACATTACATCCCAATTAAACTTATTGTTCACATTGTTCAAAGTTACAACCGCACTGAAAAAAAGTGACTCACGACCATTTTTCACACTTGCGACCGTTGCAGCCTCTTCATAGTTCACAGGATCAAAATTCAGACGCTTGGCAAGAGATTCATATTTATGACGGTCGCAAGGTCCCGAGGTCACGTGATTTCCCCCTTTTGGAACCTCCTGGCAGATCCACGAGGAAGCCAGAGGGAAGCCAGGCTCACTTAACGACTGTGTTGCTAACTCACCAGTTGCAGCGATTCACTTAACGACTCTGGCAAGAAAGGTCGTACAATGGGGCCAAACTTAGCAACGTCAATTTGGGGCTCAGTTGTGGTCGTAAACCTATGCCATCATCATCTCCTTTTAATGACCCCATAATCCCTTGCAGGATGGAGTCTGGGCAGCTGCATGGAGCTGGCTGTTTACTGGCCAGATGCCCTTCCTGTCACCATTGCAGAGTTTTGTTCAGCAGATATATTCTCAGTGTGTCCAGAGAGAGAAATATCTGCCTCTACTTAGAATCGAATTCACAGCCTCCTGATCAGAGGTGGTATCCAGCCGGTTTGGACCAGTTCTGGAGAACCAGGAACGGAAATTTTAAGTACTTGGGAGAACCAGCCAACCCCATCTCTTCCCTGCCTCCCATCGAGTCCCAGCTGATTGGCTGGGTCTCCTTTGTTTGCCCTGCACAGGAGAACGGAGCTGGAAAGCAGGTTAATGGGGTGGGGAGGGAAGGGGGTTTTTGCAGTATTTTTCTTCAAAAAAATTGAATCCCACCACTGCTCCTGATTGTGAGGAGACAGCTTCAACTCTAGGTCACCGCACCACTTGGTTGTAAACCTGTTGTTTTGGTACTATTTTGGTAATAATGCCAGAGGGATTGGATTGGATCCGTGTGTGACTAAGTCGATCATGAATCTAGGCAGATTTCTCTTTTGACTCCGCCCACCACTCTCCTCCTCCTCCATATATCTATATATTCATTGTATCATGGTTTAACTGTTGGTGGCGAGACAGCCAGAGTTGTTCTGCACAAAATTGACGGTTATATAAATGTTATAAAGAGGGAAATAAAACTATCGATCAATCGGAACAGAGCTGGAAGGGACCCCGGAGGTCTTCTAGACTAGTCCAACCCCCTGCTCAATGGGGGAATACATTTGCCAGCCATTGATACCCCTGTGTGACAGACACAGTGGGCATCCCCAAGGAAAGTCAAATAAGTCAAAATGGCAGCCATAACGGTTGTGATCTAAACCCGGTGTGACTTTTGTACGGGCCATGCACCATCAGAGCTGCCATCTTTATTTATTTTTTTAAAAAAAAACTTTTTAAAGTCTTTGCATGGTAAGGCGAGATGCAGTTTATTCGGTTAGTTCTCAACTTGCAATGGTTCGTTTAGTGACCGAAGCTAACAGTGGCATTGAAAACAAGTGGCTTACGTCCGTTTTTTCCGCACTTAACGGCCGTTGCAACCTCCACGCTTGGCCACTGATTCGTATTTACGATGGGCGCCGCGTGCCGGGGGGGGGGGCATGCGATCTCCTTTTGTGACCTTCTGACGAGCAACGGGGAAGCCAGATTCACTTAATGACCGTGTGACTGCAGGGATTCGCTTAACAACGGGGCGGAAGAAAGGTGGTAAAATGGGGGGCGGGAAACTCACTTAACAAAAGTCTCGCTTAGCGACATAAACTCTGGGCTCAATGGTGGTCGTTGAGGACTAACCTGTAGTGCACAATAGGAAGCAGTGGATAGAGACCAGCTGGCCCAAGGAACCGCCAAGAGTCGGGCACGACTGAATGGATTTAATTATTACCATCGTGTTTGTTTAAACGACGTTCCCCATTGTGGTTTCTTCCTGAACCTCAAGCCTTTATACGTTTCTTTTTATATCCTGCATTTATTCTTTTTTGCAAATAACGCAAGGGGGAAGAACATATCCAACATACCTTCCAGCTATTTTTCCTCGACAACAACCCTGTGAGGTGGCATGGGTGAGAGGGGAATCTTGCCCAAAGTCACCGGGCCAGCTTTCATGGCTAAGGAGGGACTAGAACTCCCCGTCTCCCGGTGACTGGCCCAAGGTTAATAATAGAAACTGGCTTTTTTGGCTAAGGAGGGACTAGAACTCCCCCCCCCCGTCACCAGCTTTCTATCCTGGCTCCTTAACCACTAGACCAAACAAGCTCAACAATTAAATTAGTTTAATTAAATTAGTTCCATACATCTCGCTGTAAACAAACAAACGCCTCTAATTGATGCAACCTGCAAAATCCTATCAATTGAGGCAGATCTCCGGCAAAATTATCCCTCTCCACCCCCCCTTTCCTGAGGGCGGGAAAACCGGCTGTCAAAAAAAGAAGTGAGGAAAAAAAAAAAAAGCTACCGATTTTTGCAGCGCCCTTCGGGTCGAGGAAGGCGTGTGCATTTGCAACTGCGTGTCTCCAAGGAGATGCAAAGCTATAAAATATTCCTTCCTCCTCGCAATTCTGGAAAGCGCGCACTCTTTTTTTTAAAACAAAAAAACAAAAGATCGACGTGCCATATCAATTTGCAAGGATGCAATGGGGATGCAAGGATGCCACGGAATGCAACGATGCCGCGGAAATACAAGGATGCCATGGGATGCAAGGAGGCAATTAAATGCAACGGTGCAATGGAATGCAAGGATGCAACGGTTTGCAACGGTACCCCCTTGTCCCAAACGCGGTCACGTCTGCAGGGATCGGAGCACGGCGAACCCCCCACGGGCTCGCTTGCTCCGCGCCGGCTCCAACCCCTTTGCAACTTTGTTTGCTTGCAAAGCCAGCCGGGCTCTCGCTCCGCCCTTTCCCCGGGCATCGCCAGAAGAGCAGCGGCAGCGTCGTCGAGGCGCGCAAATCCAGCCGAAAGCAGCAACCCGCGTCTCTCCTCGCTCGCTCGGCGGGCCCTTTGGCTACTACTACTAGACGGACGGACAGTCGCAGGAGCAGCTCAGCCCGCTTGCCCGGACGCCGCCGCCGTCGTCATGTCGAGCTTCTCCCGCGAGTGCCGGCTGCGCTTGACCCGCGGGGCTCCGCGGAGCTTCGAGTGCGTGTCGCTGGGGATGCCCCCGCAGGCGCTGCTGGACCAGCTGGTGGGCGACCTGCAGAGCCACCTGGAGGAGATGGAGCGGCTGCGGGTGGGCTTGCTCGACGCCTACCCGCGCCTCTCCGGCTGGCCAAGCGGCAGTAGCGGCGGCGGCGGCAGGGACGGAGGCGGAGGGCCCCGCCGGAGCGGCTCGAGCAGCGGCTTCCCTCGGCTGGAGCAGAGCGACGACGGGCGCACCTACTACTTCGGCCTGGAGGTGGGCGACTTCTGCCCCGACGAGCTGGCCGTCAAAGTGGACGGCGCCAAGCTGACGGTCTGCGGCCGGCGGGACCAGCGGAGCGAGGCGTCCGACGGCTGCGTCTGCCACGAGGTCCGCGAGGTCCGCCGCGAGCTCCTCCTGCCCGACGACGCCGACCTGGAGGCGCTGACCTGCTGCCTGGCGCCCGAAGCCGGCCGGCTCCGCATCGAAGCGCCCCGCCTGGGCTCCAGCCCCGCCTGGGAGCGCACCGTCCCCATCCCCATCTGCCGCAACAACGACGGGCCGGCCGGCAGCTTGCAAGGCGGGCGGAGCCCTTCGCCCGGCAGCCCGGAGAAGGCCTGCATCTGAGAGCTTCGGCGGCCGTCCCGGAGGCTTCGCCCGGGTCTCGTTCGGTTTCTCTTTGTTCGACGGGGGGGGGCAGTTATAAGGAAAAGGGGGGGTTCGTTATTGGGGGGGGGGCTCCCTCGGCGCGGCTGCAAGGCGGAGGGGGGTCAGTCTGGGTTTCTCCCCGACGTGGCGCGCGCTACGAGTTGAAAAGTTTCGTTGAATAAAGTTTGTTTTTTGCGCATCCAAACCCCGTGTGGTTTCTCTTTTCCCCCATCGAATTCAGAACACCTGTTGGAAAAGGGGCCTGGTAAGGTCATCTAATCCACCCGTCCGCTCGAGGAGGCTCTACCCAGGGTTATTCCAACGGGCTTCAATTGCCAGAACTCCACTCCCCAGCCAGCCATGCTGCGGTGGCTTTAGGCAGCTTTACAGTGTGTTTGGAAGAGATCTCACAGGTCATCTAGTAGTCCAACCTCCCTCCGCTCAAGCAGGAATCTATACCAGGGGTGTCCAATATTGGGAACTTAAAGACTTCAACTCCCAGAATTCCCCAGCCAGCCATGATACATTGGCTTTGGCAGAACTACAGAACAAATGAGTTGGAAGGGACCTGGTAGGTCATCTAGTCCACACACCAAACAACCCCCGCCCAAGCAGGAAACCCTACACAATTTCTAAGAAGATTGCAGTCTACTCCCTTCTCGAAAGCTTCCGCTCTCACAACTACTGGAGGCAACTTCTGCTGCAGATAAGAATGAGAGTTGGAAGGGACCTTATAGGTCATCTAGTCTAACCCCTCCCTACCCAAGCAGGAGACCAGTTCTGACAAATGGCAGTCAAGTCTCCCCTTAAAAGCCTCCAGGGATGAAGCTCCCACAACTTCTGAAGGCAACTTCTGTTCCATGGGTTGATTGTTCTCCCTGTCAGAAAATTCCTCCTTATTTCCAGGTTGAATCTCTCCTGGATCAGTTTCCATCCATTGTTCCTTGTCTGGCCTTCGGGTGCCTTGGAGAATAGCTTGACCCCCTTTCTCCACTCTGGGGCAGCCCCTCAGATATTGGAAGGCTGCTCTCCCGTCTCCCCTGGTCCTTCTCTTCCCTAGACTAGCCAGGCCCAGTTCCTGCAACCGTTCATCGTATGTTTCAGCCTCCAGTCCCCTCATCATCCTGGTTGCTCTTCTCTGCACACTCTAATGTGCAAGATGCTTTTAAAAGCTAGGATCTGATTTGGGTTAAGTGCAGCAAAGGCCCTTAAACTCTCCCTTGCTAAAGATACCAGAGAGAAGAGTTCGCAGCTCTTAGAAGCTGCTGGTTTTAGAACCTGTTTTTTTGTGTCACGCTATCCTGGAAAGCAAACAGTTGCAAGAAAGAAAGCACACACACCCCCAACCCGGACCCCCCCCCCCAACCCAGAATTAGTGCAACTGACTCCCAACCCTCCTTTCATCCCAGGCTCCTGAACTTAACAGTGAGAGCACCCAAACCTCAAAGATCATTTTGCAGATTTAAAGAAAAAAAAACCAGCTTGCAAAATTTGCTCATCGATTCCAGGGACCCCGGCTTTAAATCCACCCCTGCAAAACTCAACTTTTAAGTGCAGCCAGTCCCCCTTCTTGCAACCATTTGTTTAGCGACCGTTCCCAAGTGACAACGGCACTGGGTGGGGGGGAAAAAGGGGGCAACTGGCCATCACACTTTTAACAGTTGAGGTCCTGGAGTTAGGTGATCCTGTTTTGCGACCGCCTGACGATGAAAGTCAATGGGGAAAGCCAGGTTCACTTAACCCTATAACTCAGTGATTCACTTAACAACTGAGGCAAGAAGGGTCGTGAAATGGGGCAAAACTCACTTAGCAACTGTCTGACTTAAGCAAAAGAAATTTGGGACACAATTGTCATAAATCGAGGACTGCCTGAACCAGTGAGGGCGAACCTTTTTGTTGTGGTGGTGTGCCTAAAGCGTGCATGCTGGCACCCACAATGCAATGCGCTCTACCGCCCTGTGCATGTGTGCACACACCCCCCCCTTACATGCACTGCGCATGTGCGCCTCCCGGCTGATTTTTGGCCTGTTTGAGGCCGTTTTCACCCTCCTGGAGCCTCAAGGAGGTCAAAGCCTTTGGAGGTCAAAAAACGGGCCCGTTTCGTCACTTCTGGTAAACAGGCCGAAGATCAGCTGGGAGGGGCACGCATGCGCAGTGCAGGTATGTTTGTCTGGGGCTCGCGTGCCCGCACAAATGGCTCTGCGTGCCACCATAGGTTCACCATCACAGGCCTGAGCCATTGGGGAAAAAAAAATCCCAAAATCCCTTATTCGTCGAAAAGGGCTCCGATTTCAAGAAAGGGATTTTGTAAAATACTTTGCACGAGCTGAAGTTGGAGGTTTTCCCAGCTGGCAGTTGCTCTTTAAAAGGGGCGGCTCAGTGGCTAAGACGATGAGCTTGTTGATCAGGAAGGTCGGCAGTTTGGCGGTCCAGATCCCTAGCGCCGCGTCACGGAGTGAGCTCCCCCGTTCCTCGTCCCAGCTTCTGCCAACGGAGCAGTTCGAAAGCACAGAAAAAATACCAGTAGAAAAAGAGGGACCCCTTTGGTGGGAAGGGAACAAGCGTTCTGTGCGCCTTCGAAGGCGTTTAGTCCCGCCGGCCACATGACCACGGAGACGTCTTCAGACAGCGCTGGCTCTTCGGCTTTGTAACGGAGATGAGCACCGCCCCCCAGAGCCAAAAACAACTAGCACGGATGTGCCAGGAGAGGAACCTTTACCTCAGGGGTGTCCAACCTTGACACCCCTGCTTTACCTAGTTAACAAGGGTGAGCCCCCACTGTGTCCAACGCGAACATCTGGAGCAAGCAAACCATACACGTGTTTGTGGGCTGGTGTGCACGAGGCCAGCAAGCCAGCAGCGTGTGAATACAAAGAGAGAAGGAGAAACCAGATTCCACTCAGATCACATTCATGGTGGGAAAAAAAAACAAAAAACCAAGACACACAATTCTCAAAGCAAGAAAAGGCACATCGAGGTGCAGCGTTGCCAAAGGCTTTTGTTTTGGGGAGGAGGGAGGGAAAGGTGAAAGGGATATTGGGGGGGGGGGACGACTCTCACCCAATTTTACAGCCAGCAAATCCTCTAGCCCGGGGGCTCTCCCAAACGTGGCCTCTTTTAAGACATGTGGACTTCAAACTCCCAGAATTCTCTCTGGCTGGGGAATTCGGGGAGTTGGAAGTCCACGCGTCTTAAAGCGGCCACTTTCAGAGACCCCACTGCTCCTAGCCCGCGGGGAGACTCTGGTTCGAAATGGCAAACAAATGCATCGGATTTGGGTGGGCGGGCTGTGGGGAGTGGGAGAGGCACCTCACTCGTGTCCTGATATCACCATGGTTACCAGCATCCCTCTTCCTGCATCCTACCAGTGATTCGCATCTGGTCTGGCCACACCCCCTGCGCTGGAACGCCGAAAATTTGGTTGGGTTCTTCTATCAACCCAATAGACCGTGGTGGGCTTCCGGAAGAGAACAGCCCTCCCAGTCACTTGGCCAACACACCAATAATCCCCAGCCAGCTCCTTGGGAAAAGGTGACACAGAGATTTGTGTACAGGTGCGTGTGGTTCAGGGTAATGGAGTTGGAGAGATGTGGGCATGGACACACTTTGAAGGTAAACCCCTCGGGGGTTGGCACAGGAGCCCCCAACTCCCCCCCCCCCCCCCCCAACAATTTGGGGTCTTGTTCAGTCCGGATCTCCACAGCAGCCACTTTGGATGGTTTCACTTTGCGACGCCGGAGTGGTGCTCAGGAGTCCTTCTGCAAGTCGAGAAGGAGCAGGTAGAGTTTTCTTGTCACGGCCACCTGAGATGGGGAAGCAAACCAAGGTTGAGTGGCGGCGGCTGTTAGGCAGGGAGGGAGGGAAAGCGAGGGATTGCGAGATTGGCTGGGAAACTGCCACAGAACGTTGAGAAGGAAGATCACGGGACCGCAACCGCAGCCCAGAAGCAGCCAATCACGTTGAAGCAACCATAGCTTGCCCAAATTTCATCCCCTTGGGAGTCCTGGGTCCCAGATTTTGAACTAAGTTAGCCCATCTGAGGTGCATTATAAGATAAGGTCATTTTTTACTGTGGGCACACTAGCACACATTAAAAAATGAAATTCTGTGACATATGTATATACCTACACCCATACTTATGAATACACATAAATCTTAATCACTGTCCATCTTGAATACATAGCAGAAAGAGGAAGCTTGAGTGTTTACTGGCCAGCACACTGGCCTCCATTAAAAATGAAATTCTGTTGCCTGCTCTCAAAATAAAATATATATTTACCCAGATATACTCACTCACCTATTTATCATTTATCTCTCTCTCTCTATCATACATATATCAACTCTCTCTCTACCTATCATCCATCCATCCATCTAATATCTATCTATCTATCTATCTATCTATCTATCTATCTATCTATCTATCTATCATCTATCTATCATCTCTACCTATCATCTCTCTCTCCCTATCATCCATCCAAATAATCTCTCTCTATTATCTATTTACCTATCATCTATCTATCTGTCATTTACCTCTCTCCCTATCATATATCAACTCCCTCTTTCCTTATCTCTCTCTCTCTCTCTCTCTCTCTCCATCCATCTATCATTTATCTTTCTCATCATATACCAACTCTCCCTCCCTATCATCTATCTATCTATCTATCTATCTATCTATCTATCTATCTATCTATCTATCTATCTATCTACCTATCTATCTATCTTCTATCCATCCATCCATCCATCAATCTCTCTTTCTGTCTCTATCTCTTTCTCTCTCTCTCTCTCCATCTAATATGTGTGTGTGTGTGTGTGTCCTACACCCATACTATATATACATATAAATATTAATCACTGTCCATTTTAAATACGTAGAGGAAAGAGGAAACTTGACAGTTCACAAGGTTGAATATTTTTGGAGCAAAACTGTGACCGAATCTGGACGTTCTGCTTTGGGTACCACGAAGCCCCCTCCCCAAAGG